CTTCTAAATGTCCTTCCTTAGACTCTACTCTTTCATACACATTGTATCTGGTACTCACATTCATTTACTGTGTTTCTATAACCTTTATATATATATTGAGTGGGGACATACAATGTCTCTCCTTCATAGCCTGGCTTGCTTCACTCAGAAGTAAATCTTCCATATTCTTCCACTTTCTATCAAAAGCCAGGGTTTTGTTGTTTTTTTATGGGTGAATAGTATTCCATAGAATATATATGCTACAGTTTTTCAATCCATTCATCTGTTCATGGGTATTTGGTTTGGTTCCATGTCTTAGCAATTGTAAATAGTGCCACAATAAACATCTATGTGGGAGCACTTTTCCGATGAAAAATTCTTCTGTTCTTTGGGTAGATACCAAGGAGTGGGATTGCTGGGTCATATGCTAGTTCTATTTGTAAATTTTTGAGCAATCTTCAAATTGTTCTCCACAGTGGCTCGACCATTTACATTCCCACCAGCAGTGTAAGAGAGTTCCCCTTTCACCACACCCCCGCCAACACTTATCATTTTTGTTTTTTTAATCTTAGTCATTCTGACTGGGGTTAGGTAGTATCTCGTTGTTGTTTTTATCTGCATTTCCCTTACAATAAGGGATGTTGAGCATTTTTTCATATGCCTTTTAGCTATTCATATGTCATCTTTAGAGAGTGGTTTTTTCAACTCATTCTCCCATCTTTTAATAGGATTGATCATCTTTTTTCCAAACAGCTGCTTAAGTTCCTTCTGAATTCTGGTTATCAGTCCCTTATCTGACGCATAGTTTACAAAAATCTTTTCCCATTCTGAGGGCTTTCTATTCACACTAATTACTGTGTCTTTTGCCATGCAGAAACTTCTTAGTCTGATGTAATCCCACTTGTCTATTTTGGGGATTATTGACTGTGCTTTGGGCGTCTTATTTAAGAAGTCTTTGCCTACCTCAATGTCTCTCAGAGTTTCCTTAGTGTTTTCCAGGAGCAGTTTTATAATTTGAGGTCTTAAGTTTAGATACATGATCTACCTTGAGTTGATTTTTGTCAAAGGAGAGAAGTAAGGGTTCAGGTTCATCTTTATGCAGATGGAAATCCAGTTTTTCCAGCAGCATTTGCTGAAGAGATTTTCCTTTTCCCACTGGATTGGCTGGTACCCCTTGTCAAAAATCAGTTGACTGTATGTTTGGGAAATTATTTCTAGGGAGTCTATTCTGTTTCGTTGGTCCACATGTCTGTTTCTGTGCCAGTACCATGCTGTTTCAATTGTCTTAGTCCCTGAAAGGAGCCAATCAGAGCTCATATGTAGATGGCTTGTGATTGGCCTGTCCTGGATAGAGCTCCTGGATCAGGAGGGTGAAGTTTCAGTATATATTTTTTTCACACTGAGGATGGAATAATTATGAAAGATGTTCCTTCAGTGTTGACATCTGTTTCCAAAATTTTGAAATGCTCCAGTTCATCTATTTACAACTGGTGATCACAGCCACCCAGGGAAGGTGGTGGGAAATCCTGTCTTTCTACCATGTCATTATAAATATGTGTCACGTATGATGTAAAGATTGTGTGATAGTTAATTCTAGGTGTCATCTGGACTACACTTAATGGGATAACACACTTGAGGTGATAAACACGTATTGTAGTTGAGTAGATGTGGACGATTCCCCTTGAATGTGAACCAGCTCATTCGTTTCAACAAGGGGCTGAGAGATGATACAAAGGAAGAATGAGTCTATCTTCAGATATAACAGATAGGCTTCTTCTGTTGCCTTAGACAGCAGAAGTGCAGGGTTGTCTGCCTTTTAACTCCAGGATTTACCTCAGCATACTCCTGGGTGCTTAGGCAGTCAACTTTATACTGTGAGTTTTATCAATGGCTATCCTATCTCAGGGCTTTGAACTGGGACTGAATCATGATACCAGAAAGTCAGGCTCTCAACAATGGTGACAGAATGTTGTGCACCTTCACAGCTGTCATCACGGTAAGTAATCAACTAAATCTCCTCACATATCTGTTCATACCCTATAGGTTTTTTTTTTTTTCCTAGAGATCCCTGATCAATAAATATAGTTGTAGGAAATAATTCCTGCTTAGATTGACCTCTGTGAAGACAACTCTATATACTTCAACTTTGTGGTGACTCTACCATACATTAAGTTTCCAGAATATTTAAAGATTATGAAGAGAGGAATGATTAAATAAGATAAATAGCAGAATAGAGGTTACTAATAAATCAGACAAATTTGCACAGGACATAAGATCTAATATAAAATGTTAGGCCCACTCTTAGAAATATAAAGGAATTAATGACCTGAAGATCTAATGGTGACCCAACCAATATCATCTCATGCTAGCTAAGTAATCTTTAGTCTAACAGCATGAAATCCTACATAACTTCACCTTGTACCATAGGATCTCACTCACAGATCACAACATAGGGCTATGGGTGGACCTACTTTGTACTGCACTATCCAGAAATACTAGAACTGATAGTTTAATGTAGTCTTCTCCTGATACTATGGCAGAGTTGCTAGCTTGAAGATGACACCCTATAAGGACAAAGCAGTCTTTACTTAAAACAAATGATTTATATGTGCAGTGCTTCTAACAGATCAAACAATTAAAAGACAAAAAAGGTAATGAAGCAGGAACCTTTTCTCCCCTTTTCACTCCAAGTGATCCATGTGTGGGTTTTGTGTTCTTGACTTCCACAAAACATGGGTCCTGTAGCAAACTTGATATTAATACAGGAAAGGAAGGGAAGCTCATGAGAGAGAAATAATGACCAGAACATTCTTGAGAGTCTAGAGGTTCTGGCTTCAGTGAGAAGGTGTTATCTCCACAGGACATTGGGAAGGTCCCAATGGACGTAATTCTATGACCATCACCTTATCATTTTTGAGCTTCTAGAAACAGATCATTCATTAACAGGCAAAGCAGGGGTTATTCACGCTTCCAATTCATCTTGTGTTCGTGAGCAAGTAGAACCAATGCTACTTAGGATAGGACAAGGACTATATGGAGAAAGGAGGGAAGCAAATGGGTAAATTGTGGGTTTCTAGTTTGTTTTAGATGGAAATAGAAAAAAATTGTAACAATGATAATAGTAAGCAAAAGCTCAGATATCTGCTGAGGACATTTGTTTCTCTACCGAGAAAGTCATCTAGACCAGCAGAAGTGTTGTCCATTAATCTTCCTCTTGGGAATTTCTCTGGAAATAATTAGCAGACTGAGCTCAAGGAGATAGAGAGATGGTCCTGAGTGGTACCAACGGTCAACTGTACAATACTCTACCCAGGTACCTTATACCAGAAAGTTGCGCCAACCCAGAAGTTCAAGTTACTGTAGACTGTCAGTGGCTCATGCTGTTCACCTCTACTGGTCGTAGGTAATTACCCTCAACAGGATCCATGTCATTGCATGGTTCTGCCCACTAAGGACCATTTAGTCATTCTCCTGGGTGGCCCAAAAGTAGTTTTAACTTATATATAAATATAAAGGTACAACCTCCTTGTCTCTAGGACAGAGATTTTTGGTAGCACTCACACTCTCAGGCATCCTACAGGATCAGATAAGGATAGAAGTGATAGAAAATTTCATTTTCCCTGTGCTTTCTCTACTAAGCTACCTTCTTCTCTAGATTCTTATAGATTTCCCCCTGGGAGTACTTCCTTATAAAGCACCAGTGTAGGGACCAGCAGTTAGCGTAATGGCTATGTCGCTGGACTCCCACATAGTCGACCGTGGTTCAAGTCCCAGACCCGGTGGCTTAACCTCAGGCTGGGTGCGTGTGCGTGCGTGCCCAAGATCCCAAGAGGAGAATGGAGGAGAAGGGATTGCGGCGTGGCCATCCCCTCTGGGGGTGATTTCTCGCTTTCTATCTCTCTGTTTCTCTCTGTCTGGCGAGCGCACATGCCCTATAGCAAAAACCCATGATTCAGAGTTCTCTTTTTAGTGAATTCAACACACATATTTCTCTTAGATGGTATCACTAGGTTCTGCATCCATCAACATAGCTAAGGTGGTACTCTCCTAAATGAAGCCTCTTCAACACAGAGCTTGCACAACTATTTCTGCAACATGGCCTCACCTTGAATAAGGCTTCTCAATATGGTGATTTTTCCCTATAGCTCTATATTTTAGGGACAATGATATTGAGATTAGAAACACTGTTGTCTGACATTGTGTGTGCTCTAAACACAAAAAAAAGTAATTGAGTTTGGAGGGAGTCAATTACTGGCAAGTAATGCAAAGAGGTGCGGCGGGAAACAGAAATACTACAGGAAAGGAAGAGATGCCCACAAAGAGTGAGAAAATGACCAGAACCTCCTGAAAGCAGTTGGCATCCTGAAGATGGAGACAGGGTTGGTAGAATTATCGATAGGGGAGAAAAAACCTTGAGTGATTATTCACCAACTCCCCTTCCTTGGTTAATGGCTATTCCTGAGACCTTTTTAATCTGTCCAGAGGATGCTGTTCAATTCTTGGAAAGTCCTCAGGAAGAAGTTTCTAGATGCTTTTTGTGATCAATCAGCTTCTTGCATTAGAGAGAGAAGTGCTCAAGCAATAAAGGTAGCACCCATAAAAATCATCAGCCATACATGTCTCTATCTGCAAAGAGAACAGCTAAAATATGAGAGAAGGAACACAATCAATAAGAAAATAAAACACACATGATGACCTTATATTTGTATGCCTATAAAATCAAGATTTATTTAAAATGGAGAGGTATGTCCAAATGGTAAGTATGGCAGAGAGCATACACTTCCATTTGGTATAACTGAGGAAATTCAAACTTGTGATTATTTATAATAGAGATGTTAACATGGTGTGGAGGGTGAATGTAGCTGAGGGTTCGAGAAAATATACTGATCAGGTGGAACCAAAGTTTCACAAGTGATAGCTCATGACTTAACTCCCAGATGGAGCAGATCAGGAATTCCAAAGAAGAGGTGGGTGCAGGGCAGAGCACTCAGCAACAAGAACAACTAGAGCAGGCAGGGCATCAGCAGGTGGTCTGGCAGCAGCAGGGGCGGCAGCAGCTGGAAACACAGCAGCTGGGGCGGCAGCACGTGGTCCTGCAGCAGGTAGTCTGGCAGCAGGTGGGACGACAGCAGCAGGAGCCACAGCAGCTGGGCCTGCAGCAGCTGGAAGCACCGCCAAG